TACATAAGTATATACGCATATAACAAACATTATTTAGCTCGATTGAAAATGCATTTGGAATGTAAAACGGATGCAATTACCCAATTGACGAGAAAACCAACCACTTAGGTGTTCGCATACTTGGTGCGCGAATATCGCCAATATATTATCTACATACATATATGCATACATACATACATAGATACATATCTATTTAATAGAGGTATGTAATACATTACGCGAATTCAATTTCACATTGACAGTCAATCTATTTACATGCAAAGGACATGTATATATATTTATATGTATATATAAGTAACACATCATTCAATAAGTTCGCGTGATGACATAAGCATGTCGCCACTATTGACAAATTCATATGATTTGTATGATTTGATAGCATCCACGAACTTCAAACGAGATGTGATCATGATATTGCGACTATTACAGTGTATGTACAATTCCTTGAATGACGCTACATTTGGTTTTGTTCTAAAAATTATGAAAGTATCTAAATCTGAATTTCGTGTCGTGTAAAGTCATTATACACACTGTAACTAGCTATGTCATAAAATTCGAAAACATTTCGCGCTTGAATGTTTCGTCGTCTATCGATTCAAAAATCATATCGATTCGTATTTGTATGTCATATGATCCTACGAACTTATTGCGGGAAACATATCAATATATGTTTGTCCTATGCAACGTTTGCGTAGTTATATGCATACAAACATGAAATTAATACGGAATGACACGTCAATTAGAAAACTCTTTGCAAAACTTCACTAAATAAACATATGATTATTATCAAGAGTCATTTTATCTCCATTGGATAGTTTTAATCGGTTTATTCGCGATAATATCGCTTTAAATTTGTTAACTAATATTAATAACTGCAACTGTAATTATAACATACATTTCCAAATCACACTTGATGTGATTTTTCGGCTACGCTTCTACTTACACTCAGCTATAGATGCTACGTAGGTTCAATTGAATCTATACAAAAGCAATTCTTGCGGTTTGCCCTTAGGAATTTGGGTTGGGACCCGATTTCCCCTCTTCCACCCTATGAAAATAGGTTGCTTCTGTTATCCTTACCGTCAATCGAGAAACGTAGATTTGTTCTTGGGGTTTCCTTCCTAATCAAATTAATAAATGGTGCAATTGATTCGCCCGCATTACTTCGTGAGATTTGCTTTAATGTCCCTAACCGCTTCTCTAGGCACTTTATGTTGATAAAGCTTAGTCAATGCAAATATAACTTTGAACTGTTTAACCCGCTCAGACGTGTTTGCAAGAACCTAAATGATGTCTATCATCTATTCTCATTAACGGACTCTTTAAAGTCCATTAAAGCAATTTTGCTCAACAAGCGCGATTTACCTATGTCGTACTTAAACTGATTTAACCTTAGATTTTGTCATTATGAGTCGAAAATTAATTTGTTGTTAACAATTATCGGTTGCCAAGCTTATGCATGTTTGCGATGGCTTAGGGGTTCACTTGCAATTTGGTCCTGTATTGGTTGTGGGTGTGGCTCTATGCTAATTGTGTACATGCTTTTTTTTTTTTTTTTTTCCTCCTTATTTGTTTTATTGTACTTATACTAAGTTTCATTATTATTAAATTACTTTAAGATTTACTTAAGAGTCAATTGAACTCGACTGCTATTTTGTTTTAGTTGAGTTTCTTGTATAAGTGGAATAAATAAATAAATAAATAAATAAATAAATAGTTTCCTAGATAAGAAACTCTACCGGTCACAATATACGCTGGATTCCTGCATTTCATGTTATTTAAGGTACAATATTTCGTAAAACTTATACATTAAATTAATGCCACAACGGCAGACAATTGGTAACAATCGAACCAGCTTTATAAGAATGAAATCGACCTCCGTAATCAGACACAAAGGGGCCTGAACTTTTGTGAGGTACTTTCGAGTTTGGGTTCTTGCCAACGTCCCTTTACAACACATCTCAAGTAGGTACAAGAAAGAGGCAGCAAAAATATTCATATGAAGCATTGAAGCGTTGAGCTGGAAATGCACGAAAGAAATGCTGTTAACTGCTGGATTTTTATATGGCTCACTAAATTCGCCAAAGACTTTGTTTGGAAGTTTTTGCACGCAGTTTGGTATTGAAAATGAACCAAATTGATCAAAGTACACATCTACAGTGCAAGATAAATTGCAAACTCCTCGTTTTCAAAAGCGTATAGAATTTGGTTTTTTTAACTCACTGCTCATGAACTACAGCAGATAAACCTATAGAAGTTCCTAGATATATTCTGTACGCGATACTATAGTAGTAGTACGAGAAAGGAAAAACAAAACTGTCACGCCCAAAGAGAACAAAGATTCGGTCACAGCCGTATGCAATGTTCTTACTTATTTTATTTTCCACTTATTAAATCGGTTTTATATAAATCTAAATCGAATAAGTACAATTATTACAGTCAACCAAGGACGATTACCTCGATTCTTCGTATTAGAATATATAAAATTGTACTTTGTTTCCATGTGAACTGACGTTATCCAAATTTAGCGAGATTAATTGTCTGGTTAAACACCCCTTTATTCGCTACCCATTTTTATCAAAGTTCGAATAATTCGATTTTTTGCTATATGAAGGTTTACGTTTCTAAAGAATCCTTATATAATATGGAGTTGAAAAAATTGACCCACAAGATCCAAATTTGATTCAAACAATTATTGCTGTAACGGTCCCCAAAGAAGCTTGCTTCGAACAACTTCATCGTTTCGTGAACCAAGTGGGCGGTATAACGCGTTGCGGACATTCGACCCTTCTCACTTGACCTCAAAATTGTAATAAATTTGAAAAACATTTGCATGTGTACAATTATATTCAATATATTATATTCAATATATTATATGATCAAGTGTTGTTGGTGCAATGTTGTGTTCATTTGGACTTGTAGAATATTTCTTAAACCGCTCGGTTTCAATGCGTGAAGTCAATCTACCTCTTAAAAATGCCAATTGGGTTCGGCACGCGGCAGTCCCTATCTGTGATACTAGCGGATGGAACGCCTTTTATTATACTAGCGGATTGATACGCTTGTTTGAATTGCATTTAGCTAATTCCCCTTATTTAATTTTTAACGGGCTATTTATATATAAGTTACTACACTAAATTATGCTAACATCAACAAAATAATAATTGTTTTAAATGGGGCGCAGTGTGACATAATTTTTATTGTTCTTTTAGCAAAAGAATTATGCTGAATTTGCATAATTCTGTCACACTGTAAAGTTGGTGCATATAACGATATGCGATCACACTACAATCTATTTGGACAGAATGATGCGATAGCTTTCGCCAACAATCTACATTCTCAACTCAGGCCGAATCAGCATTAAGCTTGGGACAGGGAGTTACGTCTAGGATCAAAACAAGTCTGGCGACATTGATCTTTACAACGACCTTGCGATCTTGCGCGCACTGGAAAATTATAAAGTGTTAACGGCCATAAGCTTTTTCATCTAAATAAGCGTCACAAGCAAGATCAAGTCGCGCAAGCAAAATAATGATCGCCAGAAGCGACTTGTGATCACAAATGCAAATATAGGCTATCTGTTATACATGCAAAACTTTTGAACCATACGATTACTTCCATTGTTGACTGTCGTAACTTCAGCGGGCAGACGTGTTGCATCCCTTACTTTATTCTTGCATTTATTTCAAAATTAAAAAATCCCTTTAATTTCGCTGAAATCACATTTGCTTTTCTTTTTTTTTTCTTTCATTTGCTAATTACAGCCAGTAGTTCCATAAACGGAACCTTATTAAGCTACCAAGAACACAATTAATATGTTGTAGACGAGAAGAAAAGATTAAAATAACCTTTCGTTTGTAAAAACAATTATTTTATTTCCATTAGGTGAAAACACCTACCTAATCACCCTTTCTTCTGAAAGGAAAAAAAATTTTCTTTACACCTTCGCAGTTGACATCCATTTTCAATCCTTACAAATCAAAAACATATTTTTCCACTTATGTACGTTTGTTTAAAAAGTGGTAAAGCTTTTCATCGCCTCATTTTTAAGACCTCTTAACATTTGCATACGAACTTGTATTTGCATACCGTTGATTTATTTTCGTTCGACTGTTTTTTAAACATTTCATTTGTACGACTCGCGCAGATGGCGAAATGATTTACATTGAAATTTTTATCACAGTATATAACTATGTTATGCATGCTAAGAATATTCATAAAATAATTTAATATTGAAATTCCTATGAATTTCATTTATTTTCACATTCACCGAATACTTCTTCTTTATTGCGATTCAATTAGCAATGAACCTAAAATCGTTGGGACAATGAATGAAAGATTATATGTTAATTTTTTCATTAGATTTATTATACATAAAAGTACCCGTTAGCAACATCATCAAATATATATCTTTATAGATGGAAGAAACGTTCGAGCAAAATGAACGGATCCATTCTTCCTCCCTTGCTAGCAATATCCGAAAATGCAATATCCAATGTTATCTGTGTCGCTAGTAGCATAGCAGTTTTGTCATTCCGGTGATTATGCGACAATTATGCCCATAAGTTGGCTTAACAAAGGGAATAAAATCTCGATTGGCACAAACTTGTCCGTTTGCGTTTCTGCAATATAACTGATGGTACAGTGAGCTTTGAAAAAGCATTATTTCTCTTAAAAAATTTAAAAATACCTACAAAATATAGGCGAGCCCACGCACGACATGCCTTTTTCGTTAGTAGAGACTTCCAAATTGTCTATCAGGTTCATGAAATATTTATCATGTACCAAGTTAGGAGGCGAAGCCCAGATATTTCTTTTTTAATCCAAATGTAAATATTTAAGATGGACGTAATGCGTCTACGAACACGATCACAAATTAAATAGTCTTCTAAGTACTAAAAAATATTCTTTATTGAAACTTTATTGTTAATCATAAGTTATCTGCTTCTGTTGTCTCTATTGGTTTTACGTTGTTACTTGCAAGAGATACTCTTAAATCCCACGGTTTCCAACTCTCAGTAAAAATTCCAATCAATTACGAGCCCATATTACTCCCGGGATGCAAGAAGAAGAAAATGAGTAAGAGCCCTGTGTCTCCCATGAAGACAAGGCGATGCCCGTCTAACACGTATGAATACACAATTTTTGGGGTCCCTTCGATCCTCTCGGTGGAGCAGTCTTGTTTGCCAGTATCATCAGACATGATTTGCTGCGCCTCTGAAACTTCTGTTTGGCCGTTGCAAACGCTTTGATATAATGAATATATCCCGTATGGCCTGGCTCGTTTGATATTAAGGTATAGACATATTTAGTAACATTTAAATATTGTCACGATCCTCATAAGAGCCTATGAGGCTTATAGTGTTTAGATTTGTTATAAAACCACACATATGGTCCGATTAGGGTTAAACTTGTCCGCATCTATGAACAAAAGGGAAATACTTTAACACTCGGGGATAAGTTAAATTCTTACTAATGAAATCTTGAATGAAAGAAATTTTGAACAGGAGCATAGCAATATTTCAGATGTTGTGAAAATTGTGTTAAAACGAAATCCGTTCGATTTTAAAGTTACTTTCTTCGGTTCCTTTTATAAATGCAAGCTTTCTCGCACAGAACGACCGCAACAACTCTTCCCAGTTTTTTTCACATATTCTAATCATATAATTGTGATTGATTATAGGAAAAGTTCGACTTAATTATAGTAACGTACTATAAAAATTAAGTTCATAAACATGAAGACACGGTTTGAGTAATATAGACATAAAATTGGTGCAGCTATTTATACGCAAACGAGACGGAGCAAAAACTTCATTCAAGCTTTTGTGTACGTTGCATGTGAAACGATACCACAACAGCTTACCGGCATAATATAACAAAAATCATGATATCATGATATAAACGATGATATAGAAGAAAGGACGAAGTCAACAGTAGAACATAGGATTTTTTGCGTTGAAAATTCTAACGGCTATGATAAGAGATTAGAGATCTACCAAAGCGTGTCAACCCTTTAATGGATTGTGACATTACCAAAAAAATTAAAGTCGAGAGTTCAAATTTGGCACAGGTTTTTTTTTGCTCGATTATTTCATCAATAAGTAGAAAGACGTTGCTTTTTTTCGTAATCATGGATGAGACAACGAGCCGATTTAGCATTTTTCTTTTACTTACCGCGAAAAGATTGGCCAGGGCGTTTTAGAGACCAATATCGTATACGCAAAGTTATGACATCGTTTTCGTCAGAGGGTGCTAATCACACCCATAATAAATACATGATGGATCTCCGCTACATATATGACAAATTTATTACATCACTTAGGCAAGAAACATGACGATTTTCTCTATTTTAGTTGCTAATGTAGTCTTCTTACTGCTTCATAAAGCCTCACACATATTAGTTCCTTGCGTTTCAAAATTATTTTAACCCACATTAAACTAGTAGCAAATTAATTTATCTTCTTGTAAGCGTTCAGTGCGTATATATAGAGGGGGGAGAAGGGCATATAGAAGTAAACATGAGAGCACTTACAATTTTTTAAAAGTTTTCTGATAAAACTTTAGCAAAATGAACAATATTATATTTATTCCCCGCATTCTTTTCACATACTAATATAAACAAAACCGACAAAATTACTGCCATTGAATTCCATTCATTTAAAAACTGAAAATCAAAACAAACTTTTATTAAAATAACGATATTAATGTATAGCTACGTACAAAATCCAAAAAGTACAAGTGTTTTCTCCAATATAAAACTAATATTTATTGGTAGTACAGCTCTAAATTCATTCCATCGTGAATCTCATCTGCAAAAAATGTAAGCCTATGAACATGCAATGTATAAAAAAACAAGA